GAGTAGATGTGTAAGATAAGTTTATGATGTAGGTAAAAAGAATGGTGTTATGATAGGTGGAGAAATAATAAAGGGGAAAGATTTGATTTTAATTAATTCAGTAAATTCATCGAATACAAATCATGAATCTCAACTTATAGAAATAGAGTTACATGGATAATCTTAAAAAAAATCAAAATCTAATCTAAATTAAGTTTGATACTAAATTATTCAAGTTAAAATATGAAATATCCAAAAGGATAAATCTTTCTAATTATGCATTGAATAAATCCAAACCGTCCCAAGTTAAATCTTAAAAGCATTACAAAATAATCTAAAAATAAATTTTTTAGCTATCTCTCCTTAAAAGTTAACACATTAGTACTTAATGTATACTTAATGGAATCATTAAGAAATGATATTTTCATTAACAAAATTGAAGAGCATCTTATTGTTATTTCTCCAAAAATAGCACTTTCAAAATATTCTTAAAATTAACATACTTGGGTGGAATAAGCTCAAAATCAATCATTTTGTAGTAGAAAATCAATCATTTTTGTCCTGGATTGAGTTGAAATTAAAATCTTTAATTTTGAGTTGAACTTGTGATACAACCAATTAATGTTGCAGTTTACCTTAAGATATAATTACTTAGCACTTAATCTAGACAAAGTAATGTTTGCACTAAAAAATAAAATAAATATATATTTGAGTTAATGCCCATGTAGCAGCTAACTTCACTATCTTGTTTATGTGGAACTATTCATAGTTTCCATGTTTAACATGCATATATATACATATCATTAAAAGTCTTTTTTACAATACATTGGAAAATTCTCAAGTTAACAATATATATATATATACTAAAATGAGTGGCCAGAGGCTATGATACGAGCTCCGACCATCCCTCATGCGCCTATAAATCGAGTATCACACCCTACACTAGGAAGGAATCGAACCCTAGACCAGAGGGGACTTACAACTGACAACCAGATGCCCGATCAACTTATATGAGTACGTGGCACTAAGAATATATATATATATATATATATATA